CGCGGCCCAGGTTTCAGGGACGAACCATTCCTCCTGGCCGTGACGTGAAGAACCCTAAACCCTAAACCCTAAACCCTAAACCCTAAACCCTAAACCCCTAAACCCCTAAACCCTAAACCCTAAACCCCTCAACCCTTATAGCCTGAACCCTAAAACCCCAAGAAAGAACCCCTACACCCCTGAACCCTAAACCTCAAACCCTAAAACTCTAAACCCTAAACCCCTAGACCCTTAAACCCTAAACCCTCAAACCCTAAGAAAGAACCCCTAAACCCTGAACCCTAAACCCTAAGAAAGAACCCAGGAGCCGGCTCCCAAGAAGAGCAGATCAACGAGAGTTTCCAAGCTGGGTGCAGGATGAACCCAGGAGATATCCTAGGTGTCGAGTTTAGGTCTAGGGGTTTAGGGTTTAGGGGTTTAGGGGTTCAGGGGTTTTAGGGGTTTAGGGTTTAGGGTTTAGGGGTGTAGGGGCTTATGCAAGCAGTCAGCAGACAATCCGAGCGAGAGCGACGCCTGGATCCGGGGTTTAGGGTTTAGGGGTTAGGGGTTTAGGGGCTTAGGGTTTAAGGTTTAGGGTCTAGGCTTTGAAGAGCTTTGGGCTCTGTATTGAACTCGAAAGGACACGAAAAGTCATCCCAAACGGTGCGGAGTATCTGCGTCACCCAGCAGCGTCATGTCCGCTCCCTTGACTTTATCCACATGCCTGGGTTCATCGAGATCTTTCAAAATCAGGTTCCTAATGGCTCCATCAACTGCGTTCTTGATAAGGATTATAATACAAGTTGCCATAATAGGGATCTAAAATAAATAATAGTGTTGCACTATTATAGCAACTTAAGTTAAACCCCGTAACAAGAACCCAGTCAATCTCCGATGCAAACAACCAAAAATCTTCTCGAAGCTTCACCAAGACACCCGGTGCTTTGGGCGTTCTTGCGTCCGCGGCACAGACGGCTCCAGCAGTAGAAGCCAAGCTGCGAGAGCAATTCCGCAACCTCTTTGAACTGTATGATTGCCAGGACCCACAGTGCAGGCCTCGGTTGAGGCTTAAAGCTTGGGGTCCATGACGTTATGCTTGAAGAGTCGTCGGACTTAGCACATCAGGATGCAAGCCGACGCTCGTTTTCAGTCTGCGTTTAGTGGGGCAGCAAACTTGGAATTTCAAGAATTATGGGTAGCTCTAAACTCAAGGAGAAGTTCTAGGGCACTGGCTGGGCATCCATACCTCCGTAGCGGCACGCCATAGTTACCAAACACAGACATCCCACAGCCACGCAGTTCAGGAAGTTGTCGACGGCAGTGGCCACTCGCATCTGAAGCCACGCCGCTGCGGTGATGGCTTCCACAGTGTCTGTTTGTAGGGTCTCCTCGTTCGCGGTCTCTGCCAGTGCCGCAAGCACCGACGGCTTGCATGCCAGAGGTGCCGCAATGGGTAGGCTTCGCAAGGACACTTGTACTTCCGGGGCGTAGAGCATGTTATGCCAGCTCAGGTTGAAAGCATCCACCTCCTCGGGCCGGCTAGGACGATACTCTGTAAACACAGACCTGGACTTCCGCCGATCAGCGTTGAGGTAACTCTGCACCTCAGTGTCCCGTGCAAGGTGGCCTTGCAGAAGAATGATAGATGACTAGAAACCAGGAGGTGCATGGCGGCCATTCAAAAGCTTAGTAGCTTCGTGACCTGGCTCACATGTACGAGCTATTGACAGACTGACTGCGGTCCTGGTACCTCCCGTCTGTTCCATGCATAATCGCAAAGGACTGTGCGCACGCGTTCCTTCAATCTCTCAGAACGGAATTGTCCCGGTTCAACCTGCCAGGTCTCGATCGAACTTCTTGAACTGGTGTCTTATGATCATGCAACGAGGGCAGGGGGTTCCATGACTCTTCTCTATGCCGAACTACCGACAAGCTGGCTTGCACATCAGGTCACTCACAGGACATCAAGCACGTAGCTTGTTCGTGGTTGAGCTATGCAGCTGGGCATGTGCTATCGAGCTGGTTACATGGGTTGCTTCTTTTTGTTCTCCTGACATAACTGACATTAACCTGTGGTTGTTTCCGTTACTTACTCGAGTTGGCCTTACTGTGTCTCATTTCCTACACGCGCTCTCTCTCTCTCTCTCTCCGTCTCTCTCTTTCTCTCCACTTTCTCTCCCCCTTGTATAAGGGAAGTGTTCTCTCGTCGGGTCAACATACCGATGATACGGGCTTGTTCACAAAACTAGCCGGCCTCTTTCAGCAAGCCATTAACCATTTCCGTGAACATCTGCCCTTCTCCACGCAGCAGTGTAACGAGCATGCGCAAGGTCCGCTTCTCATCGGCCCGGATGTTCCCTTCTTGAGTGTCCGAACTCTGCACAGGCTTCTTTCGCTTCTCATCCTCTGCGTGATGCAGGAGGAACCACATGTGGATGTCGCAAGCCGTCGAGCAAGAAGCGGCCCAGTGCGCTGTCAGACCATCGGAATCTGTGGCATCTACATCGGCTCCGAACTGCAGCAGCTCCCAAGCGACATGGCTGTGCCCCGAGACGGCCGCTGCAATGAGGGCCGTGGTTCCCGGGCTTTTGCCATCTGTGCACAGCCCCTGCGCTTCGGCGAGCCGGCGAAACGCTGAAGGATCTGGTGCGAAACTGGAAGTCTCTCTGCCACTCTCCAACTCATTGGGATCGTAGCCCCCTGCCAAGAACGCCTTCACCTGAGAGATGTCCCAGAGGACAACCAGCAAACATGATGCAAAACCGGGAGCACGTTTAGGAACTCTCACAGGAATTTTCATAGAAACCTTTATAGGAGCCCGTCTGGCAACCCGAAACCGTAGGAGCCTAGGATCCCCTAAACTCCTCCAAGTCGCCTTGTTCAGGTCGCCCCTTCCTGCAGCTTTCACCAAGCTGTCCTCCTCTGTGGCCTTCTCGCCCTCAGCACTTGCACTCACCCGGAAGTTTAGGGTGTTGGGTTTAAATGCGTCTTGGGGATCCTCGAAGTGGACACCTTACATAGATACCTTAGAAAGAGAACCCCTAAAGCCCTAAACCTTCGGAACCAAAACCCTTGAAGCCTTCAAAATAGCGCTGGAAAGAAGGCCTGCGCAGACAAAGCTGCGAAAGGAAAGGCCACCCCAAAAAAATGCCTCAAACCCGTAAAACCTAAACCCTTAAAGCCCCAAAACCTTAAAGCCCTAAGCCGAACTTCACAAAGCCCCGCCTGGCTCTGGAGCCCCTCGAGGGCCAGCGGGGCCAGATCTCCTGTTGGCTGCTCCGCCTTGACGGGATCTGCTGCCACCTTCGGTTTCAGGGTCTGGTTTTTTTTGCGTTTTGGGGTCTTCAGGCTGTCCGATATTTGCTTCAGGGTTCCTGGCTTTAGGCGTTAAGTTTAGGATTTAGGGTTTTGACGTTCAGTGTTTTAGGCTTTTGGGTCTTTACGGTTTTGGTCTTTAGGGCTTTAGTGTTTTGGGGATGCGAGTTTACGGTTTCTGGGTGTTTGTGTTCCTGGGGTGTGGTTCTTGGCTTAGGAACAAACTCTAGGGAGGGTTTAAGATTTAGGGTCTCGAAAAGCAGATCAGGACCCTGAACCCTAAACAACCCGAAGCATTCAGAAGAGCGGTAACACAAGGTTTTCCACCTTTTCAACAACCCTCAGCAGATCCTGGGAGACCCTGTGAATATGACGCGGAATGCCAGTGCTGCCAAGCAACATCGGCTCTTCGTAAAGGCTTTACCCGAACCTGCAAGAGGCGTGGCCCCTTTAGGGTTTTGCTTGGGGGTTCATGGGTAGTTATAAGTGGGGTTGTAATTAGGGTAACTATAGTTATAACCCATATGAAGGAACTTATAACCCTACTTATAACTACCCATGAACCTCCAAGTGGGCCGGGTTTACTGTTCAGGGTTTGGGGTTGGCTTTACCATGGCCCTTGATTAAGAGCCCCTCTAGGAAGAGATCCCTCAAGCGATCCGTTTGTTCCTGATTCGGGGGAGCTCAAAAGCGGGAGATCCTAGAATGGAGAAGACCCCGTCTTGATAACTTGATAGGATTATATGGGGGTTTCCGAAATTAGGGGTACCTTATTTGGGGTCCTTATAATAAGGATCCTATTATTTAGGGTACTATATTAGGGTCCCCTATTTTCGGAAACCCCCATATATCATCCTGCTGAATACGAGGCTGGCAAAGTCAGTAGAATCTCGCAGCCCGACCCCCGAAAGCCTACATGCTGCAATAATGTGTCTAGGCACCACACTGCACGGTCACCCGGAAGCACATACCGTGAAATTATCTGGCGGTGTGGTCCCTATGAGAGTCTCTTCGTTAGGAATCGCAGTATTCCTTCTCGCTTCATGGCAGCAACACCGGCCCACAAATCAATGTCAATCTCCCCAAACCCCAAACCTTTCTTGTGCCTCAGGATCCTTTTTATACGAAAAGATGCTCCAAAACTCTATACATGCAATGTATCCAAGCCCCCATATGAGGTACCCCTTTTCTGGCCTTCTTCGTTGTCTTCGGCTTTGGCTTCGCGGCCTGCGACGAAGCGGTGGAGGTCTCATCCACCACCTGGGTAAAGGCGGCCTCCGAGAGACTCGCGAAGTCGGCCTTGTCGCGAACCTTCAGGGTGTAGAGCTCAGGGTTTAAAGCTTCTCGAGTTTGGCATGTACGGTTTAAGTTTTAGGGTTGGGGTTGGAAGGTAAATTCATAGGGTTCAAGGCATTGGTATTCGACCTAACGTTTCGCAGGGTTAACATGGAGGAGCTGAAGAGGGTGTATTATTCGGACTTCCGACTCGAAAACGAGCCGTCGAAACGGGTGCAAGCTGGCGGATTAGTGTTGCAATCTGAGCCATTGCAGTCATGACTTGTGACTTAAACATCTCGAAACACGCGGCTAATGGCTCCGGACTTCAAAGCTTGATACCACGTTTTGCTGTTGAAAACGTCACAAACCCAGGAACAAGGCCCGTGATGCAGCCACTGGACCTCGCTCATCGGCCGGATCTCAGGTCAATACATGGCGCCCCTCTACAACACAGCTTGGACGCATACGCCTCTGCGACAGGAAGCAGCCACAGCATGAAGCGTTGTAGTGACCCACTCCACCAAAGGACAGCATAACATCGAAAACATGATCGATGTCAGCATTGGAGATCTTCATCAAGCTGGCTTTTTCAACACCAAACAACTGTGTCGGTTGATGATACCCCAGACTTTGGAAGCTAATATCCATTTCATGACTTGGGTTCAGATCGCTTGGTTATGACAAACATAACATGTCCGCACGGCTTCCAAGCACCACCACCCAGTTTTCCCCCCAACCTGGACGCAAATCAGAAGTGTTCTGAAAGTTTCTATTGAAGCTCGCTCTACATCGCAGACCACACGAACAGAACAGAACAGAACAGACAAAGATTTTGATGCACTATTTAAATACGTTTGTTCGGACATCTTCTCACTTTGAAAACAGCTGACACACATCGACACAAACTGGAAGTCGAAACAACAAAGTACGGCGTTCATGCGCCACGGAAGATAAACAAGCAGCAGCCAGTGCCCGTCGAAAAACTATCCTTGTCTAAATTTTCCATTCTCAGTCAAACCTGCCAAAACACGCTTTTAGGGCCTCTGAAACCTCAATCCTGTTGAAAATATCTTCGGAGCATTTGCGCATGTAAAACCTTCTACCCACATTCGAACACTGCCTTCTACTGGAGAGTTTTTCTTTTGTTGCTTGATGTGGCCTGGTCGACGGCGGCTGCCGCTCTCGGTCCAAGCTAATAAAAAGCCTCAAAGAACAAATGAGTGAAACTGGCAAGCAGCAGCAAGGGAACTAAGCTGACATAGGCAACTTGTGCTGCAGAGAACGAACCAATTTTTAGAGAGGCTGCCACAACATCATGGAGAGCAAGTTGTCCTGGCTGTCAATGCTGCTACCGGCTGCGCTGGTGTCAGCTGTATCTGTTACCTAAAACCTGTAGATGCTTTTGTGCTTTGATTGAGGAGGCAACACAGGAAACCACTTGGACGCTCAGAGCATGCGCTTTGCAGGCTCTGGTCCAAAACAGTGCGGTTCGAAGGCATCGTACAGTATCTCGAATTCCACCACGCAACAACAAAGGCTCGGCTTGTCGTAAACGCAAGGCAGCGAATGGTCCAAGGTGAGCGGGTAAGCTAAGCTGTTGTCGCGTGCGTGAGCGAAAGCGGTGTGACGGGCAAGCACCTCCAAAACTACCTTGGCGTGAACACAGAAACTGTTCAAAAGCAAGTTAACATAACTGACAGCCAGAGAAGCAGACTCGACAGACTCAAAGCTGGCCCTTCGAAAAGCCGACAAAACGTTCCACAACATGGCATGACGTTCGGCGCTGGCACCGACTTTCCTAGCTCCGAGATCGGCCAGGTCGGGGTCTCGGCGGGGGACGAGCGACCCCGCAAACTTCGTTTCTGCGTTGTCGTGCACACCAGAGTCCATCCTAAATGCCAAAGGGCGCGGACGAACATGAAAAAGAAAGCGCGGAAGATGGCAGTGATGGCAATTATGTTAATGACAGAGGCGCCGTTCTCGCTACGTTCACCAAAAGTGGAGCCCAAACCAGAAGCTGAAAAAAACACCGTTCTCGCTCTTACTAAGTGCAACCTTGCCATGGCGCTGTCCGATGCAGACAACAAGCGTCGAACGGCAGGAAGGCAAGGACGGAAGACGCATATGTTGGCAGTTCTGCGTGCTTGAAAGTCGTCTAGTGGCAGACTGAAGCGCTGTTCACTCGAAGCCCTGCTCCGCCGTGCAAAATCTTTCAGATGGATGCGCTCGGCGCATCGGATCATTAGCCGGGCGTGACCTCTCCGGTTGTTGAACTATAAACAAGTAACAAGCTTTGCCACTGCGGCGCGCGCGGCGCCGAAAAATCGTATTTCTTGCTTTCTTTTTGCAAGGAACGACACAACCAGCCACCTGAGAGGTACCGTCTAATTGAAGTCGGCGCCTCCCAATGTGCTTGTGCTGTGCAAAGCCTAACTGGCTCTCAAACGGAAGCACTCTGCCACCTGAGCGGTACCGTCTAATGAAAGTCGGCGCCTCTCAATGTGCTTGTGCTGTGCAAGGCTGGCTTGACTCGCTCTCAAGCGGAAGCACTCTGCCACCTGAGAGGTACCGTCAAATCAAAGAGCCTCCCAATGTCCTTGTGCTGTGCAAGGCTGGCTTGACTGCCTCTCACACGGAAGCACTCTGCCACCTGAATGGTGCCGTCTGATCAAAGAGGATGCCCAATGTCCTTGCGCTGTGCAAGGCTGGCTTGACTGGCTCTCAAACGGAACACTCTGCCACCTGAGAGGTGCCGTGTAATCAAACAGGATGCCCAATGTCCTTGTGCTGTGCAAGGCTGGCTTGACTGGCTCTGAAACGGAAGCACTCTGCCACCTGAGAAGTACTGGGGAGGCCCCTTGTGGTGCACACGTTGTCGAGGGGTTTTGCGGCCTTGAACATGAGC